TATAAAAAATCAGAAAATATTTGTTGGTTTTCCAATATGATAGAAAGGGCAGGGTAAACACTTTGGAAGCAGGAATTCAATGACTGGCTGGCACACCCACAATACTGAAGAAATCTCACATAATTCCTTTTTCCAATTTTCATGCTTCTACTAACATCACAAACAATATCCCTGATTTCTGATCTGTAATACAGGAAGCCCTGGCCAAGATTCACATTACAGATCTGGAGTTGGGGTTTGAAAATGGTATTTTGGCTAGAGAAATATTAAGCTTAATATGATTATTCAGAGATCACACTTGCTTCCCTTCAATACATTTAGCAGGGTGTTAACTATTTGTTTGTGATTAATGCCAACTGGCTCACAAGCTAAGCTTGGGTCAAAGACGAATGGAAATAATGAACTAATCTTATTTATAGGCACACATTCTATAACTTTAAATTTACTAAATACAAAGTAGAGTCAACAACAAAATTGCCTAAAACCTTATTCCAAATGGGCATAAATTCTGTAAGAACTCCTTTCTTCTTCTTCTTGTTGTTCACTGTCGTTCAATTGGCCACCAACTCGTGGTGACCTCATGTTAGAGTAGCACTGCTCCATAGGCTTGTTTTGGCTGTAATCTTCATGGAAGCAGATTGCCAGGCCTTTCTTCTGCAGAGCTGCTGAATTGGTTTGACTACCAACCTTTTGGTTAACAGCTGAGAGCAAACCATTTGCTCATTCATTGTTCAATTTCCTTATTAATTACTTATATGGTGAACCAATTCAATATAAATGCATAAAAAATAAATTTAGCAAACTGCTTGTTTCAGAACAGAATGAGTATTTCCTCTAAAGTTGGCAGTGGTTGTTTCAGAAACAGTATTGTATTATTAGCAATGATCTACACTTGTGGTTCCACAGTGTAGCATCTATTTCTGTCCATCACTCTTATTCTATGAAGTTCAGAGTGCAGAGAAATCTCAATCATAAACAATCAGAAGTCAAAATAAAAGTTTTTCTCCATTTGAAAACACATTTCTAAGTGGTGCCTAGTGTCTAAAAGATGTTTTTTCTTCATACTGAAATGAAAGGGAAGCTTGTATATCTATTCTTGCCCATGTCTATTCTGGGAAAATTCTATTAAAGACAAATACTGTCAGTTGGGACACCTGGGTTCAAGAGACAGAACAGTGAGACTTGTAAAAGCAGGAAATAAAGCACCCAAAGTTGAAAAGAAAACAGTAAAGTAAGAAATCCAGTGATCTGACAAACAATACCGATGGGGGGCAGGAGGCTGTGCATTGTGAAAATTTGTTTTCACATTACACAAGGCATCGAAAATGGAAAATGAAGGAATTATAACAGTTTCTAGTTCTGTATTTCCCAGCTCTCTGACATATGCCTTATTCAACTACATCTCCCACATTATATAGCTAAGGCATCATAATCATTAATGAAGCAAAAGTTCTTTTCCTAAAATAAATCAAAATGCTGCACGTGACCAGAGTTGTGAAACACAGGTTTATGAACACAAGTAACTGTTCGCAAATAATAATTACAAATACAGGCAGTCTTGGTTACTGAACTTTCAACTATGGACAACTTACACTTACCCTTTAATGTTATGTAAATTTGCCCTCACTATGAAATGATTGAACTGTCCCCTCAGGGCTACCAACTGGTTTACTCTGGTTCACCCCAGATATATTGAAACACAACCTGTTTACTGGCAACCCTACTCAAAACCAACTCTTTATCACATCACCTTAACTTTCTGATGCACAGCTTTTAAATTATTGAAAAGACTTTGAGCCTTTCCTTGCACTAAATTAAGGCTAAGTAAGTACCTTTTGCACCTGTTCTGACTTAAAAGACATACTAAGGAAAGGATCTTGTTCGTAACCTGGGGACTGCCTGCATCTCACTGAAGAACTATGAAGTTTTTATGTTGTGATCTGTTTCCCCAGTGCAACATTAAGAATGCTGTGTCTTTATCCAACTCAGCCACTGCTTTCCACAGGGCAATAGAGAGAGTGCTTCTTTGAGAGCTCAGTTGAGAAGTGTAGCGCGCAGCTGTAGCTCAACTGCTGAAGGATGGACCAAACATTCTTTGTCAGAAGTTATGTGGTCCAAGATCTTACCTGCTAAGACAACATCCTTCTCTGTGTGCTTCAGTTACAGAGAGTTAAATCTATCAAGTTTCAAGTTTCATAGACTCCGTAAAGCATAAGTTCAAGTACAAAGTTTGTAGTTCTTGCTTACAAAAACAAAGGACAGGAACTTCATGTGTACTTCATTTTAAGCAGAACATGGCAATTAAGATTTACAAAAGTTTTCAATATTTATGCATTTTACAAAAGGATCCTTTTCAATCCAAAAATGGATTTTAGATTGTTTGATCATACAATTTTTAAAGAATAGGCCTAAATGAAAAGACAGATAGACCTAGGCAGGATAATAGAAAGTTGTAAGAAACAAGCTCAGAAGATATGGGAAACTTCAAGTATGGTAAAATATAGTATATGATGAATATTCTTTTTCTTTTTCTTGCTAGATACCCAAAGTCCATAAATGCCTGGATGACCACTGAAATGTCTCTCATTTATTCTTACTTACTTTCTATATTTATATTGAAAGTTTGGAAAAATTCAAATTATTATTTTCAATGGATTCAAAAGAAAAATCCCATCAAGTTGAATTATAATTTAATTCAATAAACACTTACTGGTTTTTTACTCAACTAAAAACTCACTGCCGTCCAGTCGAATCCGACTCATAACAACCCCTCCTTGGGTTTCTGAGGCGGTATCTCTATGAAAGTAGATTGCCCAGTCTTCCCTCCCAGTGGATTTTATTAGATACTATCAATCCTCATCCTCAATTTATTAGATGTTATCAACCCTCAGGGAGCTCCGGTAGCATAGTGCCTAAGGCATTTGACTGCTAACCAGAAGGCTGGCAGTTCAAACCCACTAGCCACTCCTCAGAAAGAAGGTTGGGCAATCTACTTCCGTAGTGATACTGCCTCGGAAACCCAAGGAGGCATCACTATGAGTCAGATCTCACTAGATGGCAGTGAGAGTGAGAGATCAACCCTCAACAATTTTTTAGGTAAATCTAGGTTTTCTTATCTTAGGTTTACTTATAGTGAGATACTTGGTAGAAAAATAAAATCTGTTTTCTACTCTTCATTTACATTTTAAGTCATCTGCAGGCCATATCTAGGATTTGAACTCATAACTTGATTGATATGTGGTTATACTACTCTGATTCTCTGAGGAGTCAAAAGAACCATATAAATTCTTTGTGCAAGAAATTGTTCCTGTTGAAAATGCACTCTTAATACACATAATCTCAAAACTAAGAGTTGTAAAATGAAGTATTAGTATTCACAGGTGCCTCTTTAACACAGCTGTTAACAATTTGGTTGCCTCCAGTTTGGAAACTTTTATGCCTAGCCTGCCTACAACACAGATTTAATGTATCTTTATCCCAGTCTAGTGGTGTAGTGCCTAAGGTATTTGACTGCTAACCAGAAGACTGGCAGTTCAAACCCAACAGCCACTCCTTGGAAGGAAGGTTGGGCAATCTACTTCTGTAGTGATACTGCCTTGAGTTGAATGGACTCGAGGGCAGTGAGTTTGGTTTAAAAAACATACACACTATCAACCTCCCCCTCTTCTTTTTAAAATTAAGGGGACTGAAAAATTGAGGAAGTAATATCTCCCCCAACTTCTTTGGGCATTTCTGCATATGGTATTATTGGAAAACTGCAGAATTATCAAAAAGCAGAAATTCTCTTGGAGGAATGTGGTTAATCTACATGTGAGAGATGGGTACTAAAACCAAATCTTTGCCTTCCAGAGTTTTACCCTGAAAGGGCATATACAGATTAACCGGTATGGAGGCAGGAACTAAGGTACCAAGCAAAACTGATGTACATAATGTAAGGCAGTTCTTAAAGGGGCAGTTTACATTTTACAGGTTACATTGTGTAGACTATTGCTACTCTTAAAGTAAAGATAATTCCATGAACCAAAAAAGTGGTTTCAGAAAGCCATAAATCTTAACACCATACCCTATCCTCACTCCTATTTTGTTTTATTTTTGCCATTCAGAATAATGTGGAAACTATTTCCTAAATAATTTAATAACAGTGATCGTAATATGTAAGGATTTGGTTCCAACAAGATAACAAATAATCAAAAACATTAACTTTGAGATTCAAAACCCTATAATATCTGGAAAAATGTTATACTTTGTAACTATAACACATAAGGATATTACAGTTATAAATCATAACTATAACAATAACATTAAGACTTATTTGTGAAATAAAACATTTCTGAAACACTTGGGAATACATGCTTATTCCACTCTCTGGGAATTACTAGTACTTTCTGAAATCTGTTGGAACAAAAAAATTCTGAAAAAAGAGACCAGCAAATTCTAGAAGCTGGATATTAAAAAAAAAACCCAAAAGCCAAACTCACTGCCATTGAATCAATTCTGACTCACAGCAACCCCCATTGGGTTTCTGAGGCGGTAAATCTTTACGGAAGTAAATTGCCTCATCTTCCTTCCATGGAGCAGAATGGCTGGTGGGTTTGAACTGCCAACCTCCTGTTTAGCAGTCAAATGCCTCAGACACTGCACCAGCAGAGTTCCTTGGATGTTAAGATTACATAATAAAAAAATTCAGTTTCCAGCACTGGTTTGATATAAAATGGCCTTTAAAAGGTATTTTTGAATGAAAATACTGAATTCCTGATGCTTCCTTTGAGACGTACTCTGTCAATAATTAATGAAGTATGGTTGTGGATTGTCTTCTATGAGGTATCTGTAGAGTCACATCTCATTCTGTAAACAGCATTTTGGAAACATCTTCATCTGAAAATCACGGTGAAGTTGCATTTTACCACTAAGCGGAGACTAGCAGCACTGTCAGGCTGGAATGACTGTTTTGAGATACCAGTGCTTGGTATGTAGACAGCTGTCAGGGATTCCATTTTGTTATTTAGGTTTGGATTTATTGCTCTCAAGTCTGTGACTGCAGGATAAATAAGGCAGTAGTCCCCAGAGCACACGAAATTAGGGACTTAAACTCTGACAATTGGCACAAGTTCTGATCATTTCATGTCTATAACTTTGAAGCTGAATAGTACATTTATAAATGCCAAATGTGGTCAATAATAAATGTTTTACTTTGGACTGTACTTCCTCCCATTTAGACGAACTTCCAGGAACTGCAATGGCAAAAACAAACAAACAAACAAAACATCATTACTACTCACTGTATCTAGTTAAACATTAGGAAATAAGTATACAGGAAAAAAACCCTTACTACACTGTGAACAAATTTTTATTAGTCTGATTTCTACCCTCTCTAAGCTGTTCTTTTGTTAGAAAAGTATGTCAGTTTACTTTTAAAAATGGCTTCTCATTAGTCCAACTTCTCCGGTTCACTCCTTAGACAAAGAATACTAGCCATCAATTATGAAGATTTTCATAAAAAGACTTTTTGTGAGGCAAGTATTGATTTGGGTGAAGGGAAAGGCAATATAACAAAAGCGAGTGACCAACACAATAATGCTAAGGAAAAAGAAGACACAGAGAGGTGCATAAGAGGTACAGACCACAAAGATAAACACTTTCACATACACATACTGCGTTATCAGTAATAACAAACATTAATCTATAGGTGGATACGCAGTGAACAGGCTGAATGATTAGGTATGTCTAGGCAAAAGAGAATAGAATATACCCATATATAAGTTTGGCAGATGATATTTCCACATTCGTATTTGTATGTGCTGTAAGAATGTCCATACATATAACAACAGTAGTAACAGGGAGCATAGTTATGGTAACTTCTTAGCCACAGCCAACCACCTTGAGGGAACAAGTTGTTGGGTCTGTGGGCTCAGGACCATGGCTGCAGGGGACATTGAGCCCAACTGGCATAACATACTACACAAAAACACTGTTCTATATCCTACTTTGGTGAGTAGCAACTGGGGTCTTAAAAGCTTGCAAGGGGCCATCTACGATGCAACAATTGGTCCCTCCTTGTCCAGAGCACAGAAGAATGAAGAAAACCAAAGATGCACAGTAACAATTAGTCCAAGGGCTAGCTGATGTGAAATGCAGCCTACATGATCCTGAGACCAGAAGAACTAGATGGTATCTGGCTACCACTATCAACCACTTGGAAAGGTATCAGTGTACGGGATCCTGGATAGAGTGGGAGAAAAATGTGGAACAAACCTCAAAATCACCTGATAGAGACAGGTTAAACCCCCGAGACTATGGGCCCTACTGACCCTTTGGGCCTGGCTTCCAGCCAAACAATAGACAGGCATATAAGGTGAACTTTTACACTAGGTAGGTGCACTCCTTAGAACAATCAACCATGGGAGATCAGAAGGGCAGTATTTGCACAGGGAGATAGCCCTAAGGGCAAGAATGCATAGGAAAGAAGGACACAGGGAAAACATAACCACAGGCAGAAAGTGGGAAGAGAGCTACTACAGTATGGAGATTGCAATCAACGTCATGAAACAAAATATGTACGAATTGTTGTACGGAAAATGAATTTGCTCTGTAAACTTTCACCCAAATCACAATTAAAAAGAAAAAAAAGACCTTTTGTACTTTCTTACAAACCTTATATATGTATTATTTTGATAAAAATTAAAAAGCATCAATTTGTTAAATGATTTATAGAAATAAGAGTCTCGTTTTTATTGTATAGAAAAAAGCACAGTAAATATATTTAATGTCTTTAATTTGACAGTATAAAAAACAATTCTTAATGTCTCATCTCAAAGAGATCAAAACTGATTGTTCTGCTATCAATGTTGACCTGCAACATTCCTTTGGAAGAGCCTTACATCTTCCTTAAAAATCCTTTTAGCAGAAAAGTCTTCCTACTTAATTATAGGCACAGATGTTTAGTTCCAAAGATAGAAGTCCACCAACCCCAGCCCCACGTTTACCGTTAGCAACATACTTAGCTGTATGTGAACTATGGCAGTATATTTTCCTGATGTGAGAGACCAGATATTTAAATCTTCCACTGAATAAACATCTTCTATTTTCATCAAGGCATCTTTGATATAGTCTATATTCAAATGGCTTGGCACACCTATTAGTTCAGATTAAATCACTTATAAGTTTCTCTTGGAAAAAAAAATTATATATGACTGTATTAAGAATCAAGAGTTTCATTGTTGTCCTAGCTCCAGTTATTAGCATAATTGATAATATTTTCTACTTCAAAGAAACCAAATGGCTTTGCCAAGTTCAGTTCAAATGAACACTTTATATTAATACTTTAATATAAATATACTTTAATATAAAGTATACACACATATAGTTTCCACTAAAAATGAAAGATATGTACAAAAAAGGTAAATGCTTTAAAATATTCATTCTTACTAAAAAGGAATGCCAATCAAACTAGAATACTTCATTTAACATATTAGCTAGGCCAGAGGTAGAGGGGTGAAGAAGCATCCAATGATAATAAACTTATTGAGAACTTACATGCTTACAGATATAGTATCAGTAAGACAAGGATGTGGTAAATAAAGTTGCAAGTATAAAGGAATTAAAGAGTTAATAAATCACTACACATAATTGCATTAAGAATCAAGAGTTTCATTACTGTCCTAGCTCCAGTTTATTAGCAGTATGACCTTGCCCAAGATATGTTATCCCTCTGAACCTCAATTTTCTTATTTGTAAATGGGGATAATAATGTCTACTTTGCCTATCTTGCTTAGCTATCATAAGGATCAAACGGTATAATCGATGGGAAAATGCGTTGATTCTTACATGTTATATAAATGTTAGGTGGTGTTCCTATAGCTTAATAAGTATCAGTAAAAAGAAAGGAAAAGACAAGCCTCCATCCCTAGACGGCTCCCTTCCCCCAAATCTGATTTAGGGAAGTAATAAACCCCTGACAGGGATATTAGTGAGATCTTACCTTCTAGTATTATAACTACTGTGTCCCATATGATGCGAAATGTTGTAAAAGCCACAAGTAATGAAAATATGTATGTACAGATGGGATCAGCAATCTTGTATTCTGGCTGAAAGGTAACAGATCAAAATTCCGTAGTCAAATATACCAAACCAATTGCTGCTGAGCTGATTCTGACATATGTTGACCCTATGTGTGTCAGAATATAACTGTGCACCATAGGATTTTCATGGCTGTGACCTTTAGGAAGCAGATCACCAAGACTTTATTCCAAGGCACTACTGCATGGGTTCAAACCAACCTTTTGGTTAGTAGCCCAGCACTTAACCATTTGTAATACCCAGAGACTCCAAATACAGACAGACATAAAACAGACTGTAAAGCAAAACAAAGCAGCCTTTGTCTCCTGTTCTTTTGCTTTCTTTAGCAAGAATAGAGAATACCTTCAAATCTTGAATGTTGTAATTGAGAAATCTTTACTCTTCCCTAAAAACCAAAAACCAAACTCACTACTGTTGAGTTTCCAAGGCAGTATCACTATGGAAGTAGATTGCCCAATCTTCCTCCTGAGGAGTGGCTGGTGGGTTTGAACCGCCAGCCTTCCGGTTAGCAGTTAAGTGCCTTAGGTACTATGCCACCAAAGCTCCTAGATTGTTTAAATGCCTCTCCTTGTGAGATCTATCTTGAGAAGCTCAATCGTGGATTCTACTGTTCTGCCCTGTACTTTCCTTCTCTAAATCTTCTATCCAGAATCATAGAATATAAGAGCTGGAAGTTTTATCAGCCATCTTATATTAGGGAGGTGGGAACTAAAATTCAGAGTCAAGGGACTTGTTTAAGGACACAGCAATGATGGCAGAGCCAAGACTAAAATTCAGATCTTTGGATTTATAGCTCTGTGCATATTCCACTACCTAGTAGTTCACTGACAACACTCAAAATTGAATTCTCCAGTAGAAGAATGACCAAAGCCAGCTACAGAGAAGCTACCCACAAAGTGATACTACTTTGTTTACTGCTAACAAAAGAGCTATACTGGTATCCAGATTAAGGCTGCATCAATGCAAAATAAATAGGACAGGCATTAGTATCCAGTATACTGATAAAAGACCATCCCCTTTGGTTTTAATGTTGAAATCAAATATATTTTAAAGCAGAAAAATTAGCAATCATATTACCTTGAATCGTATGATGTATGCAGCTATTAGAACACCAACACTCTGTACCAAATCACCCAAGGCATGTACAAATGCAGCTCTCACTGCCAGGCTATCCTGCCCATGGCTGTGTCCATGCCCGGAACTCATGGTAGGAGAATTGGAAGGTGTGTAGTGAGAATGGGAATGACGATGGCCAGACTGGTTCAACAGAAACCCCATTCTGTTTAAAATAAAAGAAAACATTATTATCTTTTATTTTGTTGAAAATATTTGTTACTCGTCAAACATTAATGAAGCAACAAGCAACTCATTTATTTACTCACTTAATAAACATCTGCGCACCTACTATGCATCAGGCACCGTTCTAGATGGTAGAGTCACAACAGTAAATAAGACAGACATATACCTACAACCATGGAGCTTAAATTCTAGTTGGGAAGGCAGAAAAATAAGCAAACATATATATATATTTAATGCCAGGTAATGCAAATGCCTGTAAGAAAAGTAAAGCACAGTACAGGGATGGAGAGTAATGGGAGAGTGGTCACAGCAGGACCTGCCTTCATTCAGAGACCTGAATGAAGTCAGAGGGCAAGCTGTGGGAGAACAGTGTTCTAGGCAGAAGGAATAGCAGGGCAAAGGCCCAAAGATAAAAATGTGCTCACTGTGACTAGAATAAAGTGAGTGAAAGAGCTAAGGGATGAGTTGGAAAGGTACACAGGGTCTTATTAAAAAGGATTTGGAAAAGACTGTTGATTTTACTCTAAGTGCAATAGGAAGTCACTATGACAGAGATTGGCAAACTACAACCCCTTAGGCCAAATTTGGCCTAACATCTGTTTTAGTAAATAAAATTTTATTGGACTCCAGCTCTGCTCATTTGTTTACATATCAACCGTGGCTAGTTTCCTGCTTTAACAGTAGAGCTGAGGAGTTGTTACAGAGACTATATGGCTCTCAAAGCCTAAAATATTTACTACCTGATCCTTTATAGAAAAAGTTTGCTAACCTCTGGTCTAAATAATAAAATAGGTAACACAAATTTTTTTTTTTTAATAGATAGTTTTAAGGAAAAAATCTAGTTAACATGAAAGTATTATAAAATTAAAGTTAAATAAATTTTAAAAAAAGACACTTTGCCCTGCTTAAATTCCTGATTATTTATTAGTCATTATCCAGTATATCTGAGCCAACTAATGAGGAATTTATAATGCCAAAAGTTTCCTATCAACATTTATTATAAAATTTAATGTGTTATATAATTTAAAAATATACAAAAGTATCACTTCATATTACTGAATAGTCTCTAAGTTCACAGTACTTGAAAATATTTAATGTAAAAAAAAGAGCTTACATTATGTTAACTGCAACTCCAACAGCTGCAGTAATGAGCATTATATCTCCATTTATTTCGTAGTCCATATGGATAGTTCTTTGCACAGCTTCATATAAGAGGAATCCCATAAGTATATACACCAATAGCACGCTAATCATAGCTGACAAAACTTCTGGAGGGAAAAATGTATAAAACAAATATTTGTAGCAAGGTTATTACACTTTATACAAATTAAATGCTGTATAGTTTTTTATTTATATTTTTTTCCTCTAAGGAGATAACAGCACTATACCATTTTTGTCATGTCATTTTCTTCTCCAAAGAGGATTTAGCAGCTTACTGATCTGGATCCTCCACTATTTCATCCCCTCTATTCCCTACCCTCCTGTGATATCTCTTTAGGGGCAAACCATGTATATTTAGAAATCATTCACAATATAAAATATGACAAACTAAAAACAAATAATTGTAACATACATGACTACAGACTAATTTCCTTAATGAAAGAAATATAAATAAGATTCCTTTTCTTTCCTACCAAACTGGCAAAGATTAAAAAGTTTGATAATACCTAGAGTTGGCAAGGATATATTTTAGTAACATTAATCAAAATTTTAAATGCATATATTCTGTGATCTAGCAATTCTGCTTCTAGGAGTCTCTCCAACAGAAACACTTCCATCGTGTACAAGATATGAACGAAGTTTTCACTGCAGCATTGTCCGCAGCAGCAAAAAGAAATCTGGTGATTTTAAATGTCCAACAATGAGGAACTAAATAAATAAATCATGATATATACATGTAATCAGGATACCACATAGCCATTTATTTAAAAACAAAAGGGAGGGAAAAAAACCCAAATTCATAATCACAAGAAAGATAAAACAAGAAAATGTTACATCTAGGAAGTAGGAGTAAAAGCTAGGGATTTACTCCCCCCCCTTTTTTTTGGCACTGTTTGCAATGTCTTTAATTTTTACCACAAATATGTATTATTTTTAGACCAAAGAAAACAAGTAAAAGTATATACAAGGCAGGCAAATACCTTTGACCCAGGAATTCTTCTTCTAGAAACAACATACACATTTATACCAAATGAGTTGCACATGTGTAAAATGTGGTACATTATGAAGCTATATATTAAGCACTGTATATTATAGAAAATATATACATACATATATATACACACACACACACACACATACATACACACACAATATATATGTATCATAAAATAGGAAGAATCAAAAAGTGATCAATAGGACCCTTGTAACATGAAATACTGTGCAACTGTAGAAAAAGGAATCAGAAAGCTCTTTATGTACTGATAAGAAATAATCTCCAAGATAGTGCTATGTAAAAAAAGCATGGTGCAGAACAGTGTGTATGGTATATTACCATCTGTGTAAAGCATGGAAAAAAGAATATATAAATAATCACCTGTAAATGCAGTATTTGCAAGAATATACAAAATACTGATAAAACACTGGCTACACTGGGTAAGGAGAATGAGTGGGAGACAAGGAGTGACTTTTCAGTGTCTATGCTTTCATGCTATTTGAATTTTCTACTGTATTGAATATAAAGTAAAAATCATTTTTTACCTTTCCAAAATAATCAAAAGAAAACACAGTAATAGGAAGAATGATTTTAAATAATTAACATCAGTACATAAGACAAATGTTGACACTCAAAACAATTAAAGCAGGAAAATAATTTTAAAGAAAACTTGTGCTTTAGAGAAACCAAACATTAATTCTTTTAAGTATCAAAAGGTAAAGCAATTTGGAACACTGGTACCTGGGAGAATTTCCTGTGTGAAGGTTCCAGGCAGTCCAAATATACTGGACTTTAAAAGATTATTATTCCAATGTATAAATTATAATACAGAAAAATTATCTAGAAGTTTCTTGAAGATACTTGATTAATGTAGCCAAAACGAATAAAATCCTATGCATCAACAAGATAGATGTTGGACTAAGGCAGAAAGCATACATTCTTATTCAAAACTATGGACATGCTACTACTGACATGCCAATAACTATACTTTGAAAGAGACATAAGAGCTAGAGAAGTTAGAAAAAAGACCAACTAAAATACATGAAGCTGTGGAAAGACTGTAAGCTCACTGAGGACGGAAACCTAGTCTTATTCCATGTCACATTTACTGTAGGGCTTAGCAGATTGCATGTAGTAGGTATACAAATATTTGTGGATGAATTTGTAGAATGAAGCTTTTCACAAGTTGAACAAAGGAAGATGATAAAAAATCTATGTAATTATGAAAATTAGATAGAATATGAATAATCAGTTATTTACTAAATCTAAGAAAAAAAAAGACAAATAGATAAAAGGAGAAGGCTCAAGCCAAATAAAAGATAGAAAATACATGGAAGTTTCTGCCTTCAGTTATAACTGCTCATGATAAAGTACACATAAATAATATAAAGAATTTAAAAAAATTTAAACTGTAAAATTTCATGTATTAGTGGTAGCCACCTCATTTTACTCACAAAGAGAACTTTAATCATGTGTCAAGGCTGAAGCTAGCAATGAGGCCATCTTTACTTTAAAGATGATTAAAGTACCTTTAATCAAATTTTTAATATAAAAATTATAAAGAAATATACTTTACATTTATAAAGATTTACAGATATATAAATTAATGATATGGAGATGTGAATGATTATAATAAAAGTATGTTCAAAACCCTCAATAAGTAGGATAACCATACTTTTCAGTTTTCCCTGAACAGTCCCAGTTGTCTACTGTACTGGTATAATCATCAATAGTGCTTCATTTTACTCTCAAAAGTGTCCTGGTTTGGATGATAAATTATATGGTCACCCTAGTGGGCTGTCAGATAAAATATAGGCTGCACAGTTAGTTATATTTTAATTTAAGATAAACAACAGATAATATTTTCGTGTATTTCTCAACAGCACCTAAAACATTTCTTACACAATATTTGAGATACACTGAGTATCCTATAACATTATTTTCTTTATAAACCTGGCAACCCTATACCCTAGTGATGATTTTCCTAAACACTTAGAAGTACCTTTTTGTGAATTCTCAGATTAAGCACACTCATTTTCTTAGTTTCTAATGCTGCCGTAGCAGAAATATGTGTTGAATTTGGTGAAGGGAAGATAATATAACAAAAGTGTGTGACCAGAACAATATCACTAAAGAAAAGGAAGACACAGAGAGGGGCATAAGAGGTACAGACAACAAAGGTAAATACTTACATACACAATACTACATTATCAGTAATAACAAACGCTAATGTACCAGTGGATACATAGGTAGACAGGCAAGACAATCAGGTATAGGCAGGTGAACAGGAATATACCCATGACCATATATAAGTTTGGTAGATGATATTCCTACATACATATTTGTACATGCTATAAAAATGTCCATATATGTTATAGAGATAACAGGGGACAAAGTTAATACAACTTCTTGCCACAACCAAGCACTCTGAGGGAGTAAGTTGCTGGGCCTGCAGACTGAGGACCATGGTCACTAGGGACATTGAGCTCAACTGGCATAACATACTACACACAAACATTGTTCCACATTCTACTTTGGTGAGTAGCAACTGGGGTCTTAAAAGTTTGCAAGCTGCCATCTAAGATGCAAATACTGATCTCTCCTTATCCAGAACAAAGAAGAGTGAAGAAAATCAAAGACACATGGAAACAATTAGTCCAAGGGGCTAATGGAGCATGGGAGCCTAAATGATCCTGAGAACAGAAGAACTAGATGGTACCCAACTACCACTGCCAACCATCTGGAAAGGGATCTGTGTAGGAGATCCTGGATAGAGTGGGAGAAAAATGCAGAACAAAATTAAAAAAAAAAACAAAAAAAAACAACCACGCAGGGTCAATGATTGGATAGAGACTGGTGAAATCCCCAAGATTATGGCTCCTAGTCACCCTTTGGGGATGGAGTTGAACTTACTCCCCTGGTTTAACTCTCACCCAAACAATTGTACTCATGAGGAACCTTTACATTGACCAGGAGGCTGTCGTTGGAACAGAACAAGTAAACACTGCATGGTTTAAAATGAGGAAGGCAGTGTGTCAGGGTTGTATCCTTTCCCCATACGTATTCAATCTATATGCTGAGCAAATAATCCAAGAAACTGGACTATATGAAGAAGAACATGACATCAAGATTGGAGGAAGAATCATTAACAACTTGCGATACACTAACAACACAACTTTGCTTGCTGAAAATGAAGATGCTTGAGCCACTTACTGAGGAAGATTGAAGAATACAGTCTGCAGTATGGATTACATCTCAATATAAAGAAAACAAAAATCTTCACAACTGGACCTATAAGCAGCATCACGATAAATGGAGAAAAGATTGAGGTTGTCAAGGAATTCACATTGCTTGATTCTACAATCAACACCAATGAAAGCAGCAGTCAGGACATTAGATGATGTATAGCACTGGGCAGGTCGGCTGCAAAGGACCTCTTTCAAGTGCTGAGAAGCAGTGATGTCTTCTTCAGGATTAAGGTGCACCTGACACAAGCCATGATATTTTCAATAGCCTCATGTGGATGTGAGAGCTGGATGATGAATAAGGAAGACCAAAGAAGAGTTGATGCTTTTGAGTTGTGGTGCTGGCGAAGAATGCTGAAGGTACCATAGACTGCTAGAGGAACTAACAGATCTGTCCTGGAGGAAGTGCAGCTGAAATGCTCCTTGGAAGCGAGAATAGCCAGACTTTGTCTCACCTACTTTGGTCATGTTGTCAGAAGGGACCATTCCCTGAAGAAGGATGTCATGCTTGGTAAGGTAGAGGGTCAACAAAAGAGGGGAAGGCCTCCAATGGGATGGATTGACATGGTGGCTGTGACAATGGGCTCAAGTACAGCAAAGATCATGGAGCTGGTGCGGGATTGGGTGGTGTTTCGTTCTGCTGTGCACAGGGTCACTATGAGTCAGAGATGACTCGACTGTACCTAATAACAATAACAAATACAGGCCTACAGGCTGTACAGCTACACCACGGAGATGTACTCCTTAGAACAATCAACCATGGGAGATCTGAAGAGCAGCATTTGCCCAGGAAGAATGTTAGGGAGGCAGAAATGCATAGGTAAGAAGGATACAGGGAAAGGGTAACCACAGGGAGGAAGTGGGAAGA